TGTTCACCCACCCTCATGTTTTGTAATATTGTAATCGATCTGCATCTTCATCTTGAGTCCAAATCAGCCAAGTCTTCTATACATGTTGTTGAGTCGTCATCTTTCTATTTCAAAACAACATTCTCCCCGCAAGAATTTCACATTTCTATCCTTAGCTTATCCTTATCGCTTCCTTCTATTTTGAGCTCACCCTCATCAATACTTCGTCCCATCTTAATCCCTATATTCTCAATCCAACTTACTACCTCCAGATCGTCTACATCTCAATCTCCAGCTTATCTTTATCTTCATAATTATTTAAATAATTACTATATCTCTATTTTTATCTCCAATTATCATTTATCAAAACGCCAATAAAACATAATAAAAGAGTACTACTAATCAAAATTTGAATTTTTGCTAACATTTGTCAAAGGTGACTAAAGGTTTCAAATATCAATTTATTCAATATAGCGCAAGTATTACACAACTTAATAAGATCATGCTCGAATACTGTTCACCTTTAATAATTTAATGTGTTTTGACTTCTTTGTGTTTAATTATAATTGCTGTTGTTTTGTTATGGCGATGCAGATTGATGGCTTTTCTCGTTGATGTTCAATGATGTCACATCAATACTGTTTAGAGTATAAATCATAAGAAGCACAGCCATCTTTGTGTTGAGGCAACGCGTATTTCTAGGACACTTATTTCAACACCCAATATTCGTTCAATTATGTTCAGAAATACCCCAAATTTCTTTTCACCCTGCACGTTCCTATTTCTATTTTGTTTTTGACAGTCTTCTTTGTCGCAACGTGGCCCCTAATAACAAATCATGTTTCTTTCAGCTATTGCTCAATCGATCACCTCCACTGAATGGATGCGAGCATTGTGCCCGAGCACATTTTAAACCGTTAAAAGATGGTTTAATTTTTCAATGACATCTATTATTCGCTAGTTTTTCTTCATTCGAGTTATAATATTTACATTTGCATGCGAAGTAAGGGTGTATCGTTTGATGCTGAAAAGCTCATTTTTAGTATACATCCTTATATTTCTCGTAAAGAAGACGTGATGCTTTGAAAATGAATGAAATATGGGGGCTACAGTTAAGTTGAAAGAACAATTTTGGATGAGCTCTTCCATCTTAGAACGTTTTTGTGTACGTATTTGCAATATACAAGTACATGTATATTATTTTGTCGGTAGTTTTTGTGTGTTTTAGTTTCAAAATTTATGAACGAAGTAAATGGGGATTACTATATACCCTGGCGTGTCCTAAAGACACCTCTCGATGAATTACAGCTCTTCCATTATGGATCAGGAACTAGTCCCCAAAGGCTACTAATCTTGCTGTCCTTGCTGTTTTTCTTTGGGGTGATGCTTTTCGAAGAAAACCAAGGCTCCGCCAATGTACGTACGATACTCATGGAATCCGGCATTCTTGTTCCTTGGACAATATGCATCGAATGATTTTTCATAAGACGTCACAATTCCAAGATGGGTGTGATGAAGTCATACTCAATTCCGGGTCCATATAATAGTACAAAAATACAGTGGTACTTGTTTTGTATAATTGCTATACGTCATGTATCTTTATCATGGATTTCAGAGACATTAATGATGTAAAGGTTGTGTTAAGATTATATAAATAAATAAATGAACAAATAAAGTAAAGGATTCCCTAAGCCGAGAAGTACAGAGGCTGTTTTGATAAGACAGGTTTTAATGATAACATTTCGGTCTTTAGCCGACCTTCATCAGATACATCAACGGTTTCATTCAAGATTATATAAATTCGCCACTCTAAAATACTCCTTTCCCGCTCACTTTCCTTTACGAAATCTACTCTTCCTTTAGAAAATGGGGAATTTAAAGGTTCTAAGTCAGTACCATCTACATAAGAAACATTCCTAGTTTAGTTTATGGGAAGCCAAACACACAAAAAGTTAATGGAGTGTAGCAGGTGGGGTCGGCGGTAATGATTTAGATGCTTTTTAATATCTTCATAATTAATTTATAACTTGCTGTGATATTGATAGGCAAGATATACATGATACATCTCTGGTGATGCTTGTAGTATAATGAACCGTAAGTCACCAGTTTTAATGAACGCTTCATTAATTTAAATTAATTTAAACTTGCTTTTAAAAAATAAAAACCATACAAACGGGATGCCATTGTTAGGAAACCTTGCGTCATTCATAGTTTAATGCCAGTATGTAAAGGCATACACGTTTCTTTAACAACGGTAAAATGGAATTGGACATGCGCAAAAAGTATAATATGTTGTAATAAATAGGTCTGAAGAAAACACTAACGAGCCTTTAGCTTATTAAAATCTAAATCAATACATTCAATGTCCTGTTGAAAGGTCATTATAAATTACACGTTTCAAGCATTTCCTCTGGATTTAACAAAGGTTTTCCTGTTATTTGATTAGCCGCCGATAATTTTAGCTTTCCATACCCTGACTCTTCGTCCCCTTCCGTTCGATGAAACATTTTGACACTTTCTTCGTTCTTAAGAATCCCATCGAACACATCAACTGTATTTTGAATAATAATGATATCGTCTGTCGAGTAGCAAATGCAGTACATATTTTGTTCGAGGTGATTTTAATGCTAACCGTTGAGCTCAAACATCTACACACCAGCAGTCGATTCCTCGAGGCGGTTTACAAAGATTTTTACTGTTGGAATTTGTTCAAAACCTTATGTAATTACTGGACCTAGTAAACATTCACAAACTTTTAATGGTAAACGTGTTATACGAATTTTAATACGCTTCTGTCCTATAACTAGTGAAACAATCTGGACCATTTTCAAAACGAAATCTCTGATACCCGGGCTCTAGTGGCCCGTTCAGACGCTTACATTAACACAGGGTAGTGTTGCGTCCCACGTACTATTATAAGCAACACCAGTTTAACTATTTTGAGCTCGTCGGTTAAAGGTTAGAGTTAATTACGCATGGACACATACCGTCGTTTTGCCAGAAAGAGAACTTATTAGCGTGTGCCCACGGTGGCTAAGTGGATAAGACGCTGGCTCGCTAACCTGGAGGTCGGGTGTTCGATCCCTACCTTGGCCGAGAAAGTTCATCCAAATTTTCCGGCGTGGTTCCCCCTTGTCAGTGATGCAGGACGGAGGGCTGACAAGGACAGCTGTCTAGTAGTTCGGAAGGGCCAAAAAACCGAGGTCCCGTGTACACATTTGCATGCAATTAAAAGATCCCTTGACAGTTGGAATTCGATATAAGAGTAGGCCGTAGTGCCGCTGTCCGGGCAAAATTCCCCCCCATAGCACACTCTATGACGTCTTCATTAGCCCAGTTCGGAGCAGGTCAGTAGGACGTTAACCCACATTTCATTTCATTTCCAAAGCAGGTCCATTTAGAGGGCCCAGATAAGATCTCTGTTTAACGATCCCCGGAATTTTAACTTGCGCGTCTAAACGATCTAACGGGGTGCATACAGGACTGCAATGGCGAGACCTGTGATTTATAATAGGGTTTAATACTATAAAAAAAAAGCTTTGGAAAGACCGCTCGAAAGTGGAACCCGTAGACTGTTTTCCAGGACTGGATGAATTAAATATGAGGAATGGTCGAACAACCCCCAGTATACTTTATCAGGGCAATAACTCTATCAAGAATTGATGCGTGGCTCTGAATTTCAATTATTCGAATAGTCGATAAAACAGCGACAATTACAATACCGAATTGCGAAATGTCCACGATTTCTCTTTCACTAACTCCGCCTTCAGTACAAGAAGTTGGACGGTATTGATATTTGGGGTTCTAAAAATCCCTATTAAGGGAATATCCAATCGGTTATTTAACTATTGGAAAGTTTAAAGAAATCAATAAAGAGAGAAGATACAGACATCTTGTTTTAGCTTCATGATATCCAGTTGCGCCCCCACCCCCACACGGACCAATCTACTCTTACAGTAATTACTGATGAGATCTGAAAGTTGTAAATATATCCAGTCATATATCCAGTCTTGCTAGTAGCACAATAAAACTACAGGTTAATTACATCGCTAATATTTACTCCTGCTATAATTACAACCCAGCGTTTTAGATTTAATTACCCAATCTCGTGATAAAACGTAAACTGTTTTAACAGGGGCGGCGGTACCCAATGGTGTAACAAGCTTCTGTTTACAGGGGATTAAATTATGATTAACATAATTAACCCATTCACACCTTTTGATTGCAATAACCCTGCCGCATCACGTGGCTAGCGACAAGATAATATTATTTATTGAAGGTCATTGTCTAGCAAGTTCATCTGTTTAACAGTTGGAAACGCGTGGCTTTTATTTCTGGTAAACTGTTCATATTTTTATTTAATTTCCGCAATATAATTTTAAAAATATATACATTTGATCAAAGTAAATAAAACATTTTTAAATCTATCTCGAAAATCAAGATCGAAAAATAAGCATGTACATGATCATACGAAAATATATCAGATTTTTAATTTTCTTAAATTTAATACATCTATGTTTGAATCTTAACCCGAATGTGTTCTTTATTTATACTATTGTAATTTTCTGCTTGTATTTTACTACATGTGCATGTTATCGCTTCCTTTTTATCCGTGAGAATATTATTTCTTTCTGTTTTATTTAAGGAATAAAATCAGAAATCCCTTCAGCTAAGTGACAAGTCATGAATAATTAATGTTAAATGAAACACCCTATAAAACAGTCTTTTTGAAACTGTGAACATTTCCAGAAAGGCTCTGTTGAAGTCGCAAGAAAAGGTTAGCAGAGTTGTGAATAATTTAAAACTATTAAAGACAAATATGAATAAACAGTTAGCTGAGGTGAAAACGAACAGAAGTCGCAGATCTGTTGTTACCGTGTTTACTGATGTAAAACGCCACGTGCATATTGCGACAAAGATGACAACGAAATAAAAGATAAGCGTAAGAGGGCGGGGCCTATTTCAGTCGTAAGGAGAGTATAAAATTGTGCCGTGAGTCCCTGGGGATAAGTATTCTCCCGAACTACGTCACGTCGCGACGGCATCAGAGACGCAGGACCAAAATATTCTACATTAAAAGACACGCGAAGTATAGAAAATGGAAACCAAAATGTACAGTGCTCATCCGCTGGAAACTGGACTATCCCCAATTATGGACATGTCCAGCAGTGCTGACTTCTTTGCGGCATTCATGGACAGACCGTCATGCATGTTTTCCAGTTCTCCGACAAGTGTTAGTCCAAATGTAAATGACTTAAATATGAATACGAAAGAAAACATCCGAGAGATATCCCAGTGCAAACGAAAATTGGATTTTGCCGAAAACAACAATTACTTAGGACTCCAAAGACCCCAGACGGTTTCTGTTGCAAGAAGGAACGAGCGGGAACGGAATCGCGTTAAACTTATAAATATGACTTTTGCGACATTAAGGGAACACATTCCCCAGTTGTCAAAAGGGGGCAAAAGTCGTAAATTGAGTAAAGTGGAGACGTTGCGGGCTGCTATTGAGTATATTCGATATCTTCAAGGTATGATGGATGAGAATACAACCGTGGATCTTAGTAAGATAGTCAGCGAGGGCTGTCTGTCTCCCGGTCTGTCTACTGGAACATCCGTGAACTCCCCATCATCTCCCTCTGGCTCACCAGCTTCTGAATCGTCCTATGAAAATCTCAGCACAGAAGAAGAAGACTTATTGGACTTTGCAAATTGGTTTTAAAGGCCAGAGATAACGCAGGTAATTATTTTTTGGGTGATACGATTTTATAAAAAATTATAAGTCACACTTTCTTTTCTTTTCTTTAATGAGGAGTAAGTAAGTGGTGTTCATGGCAAAAGATGCTGTGTTGCCTTATGCCATGATTAAATGTTAAACCATAGTCTTAATATGAACTTTTTAATTTATTAAATATCTTTAATTTTATTATATATATACCTGTATATTCATACATCTTTCGGCTAAAATTGGAGTTAATGAATTCACAAGTGATTAATCAGTCAAAGAATGAATGATAGGTCTAAAATAGAATAAATAAAATGACCTAATCTAAAACGTTTGTTAGAAATTTATTCACCAAAGGATAAGTTCGTGAAAGATTCTAAATAATACAATTCAAAAATAAGTTCCCTATTTCAATCAAAAAAGAAAGATAAATTTTCAAATAAATCGTTCGAAAAGATGCCAGTTGAATGCAATGGTCGATTTTTTGTTTTGTTCTTCACAACAAGTGTTTCATGCTTGAAAAGGTGAGAGTAGAACAATTTATTGATTGTTTTTATTGATTTTTATTTTCATGCTCATCGTTATACCAATATCATTTAACATGGCTTATTATTTTGATAATTTATTTCATTAAAATTTCATAAGCTTTCAGATTGATCCCCAGGGTAATATTTCAAGCTAACCCTTTCTTTGTTCCTTTTTTTCATTGTTAAGTAAACATTCTTTAATTTCTGTTCTTTTCTTAACCCTACAGATTGTGAAGTGACGCAACTATAAGTGCTATGTTCTGATTGGATGACCATTTTGTAAGGAACTGTTCGATTGGCCAATTGCGTAATTCTGCTGACAGCTGGATGTGATGGTGCTAATAAGGAATAATGCCTATCCAAAATGAATGACTTTTACCCCCATAAGCTTACGTGAAAAACACTTGAAGTGCTAGACAATAAAATCGATGAAGAAACTTAAAATTGTTAAGAGGATTAACGACATCGTATCGCTTGTCGGACATTCTCTTTATGTGATTTGCCAAAGTCGTTTCTGAATAGTGACAGTGTCTCTAGATTTTTTTTTTGTTATTTAAGCTGAATATGTTAGAATTTTTGTAATTAATTCATTTTATAATAGAAAACATGAAAGTTTGTTTTATTGCTTTGCCTGGACTTGGGCAACCACACACCTTTAGTAAGCTTTACACTGTATGTACAGGTCCACCATATTATCTCATAATCCTACAAATGTATAAATCTTTTAATTTATTTTATCATTCAGTACTTTAGTAGAGATAATCTTTTAAAAATATTTGTATATAGTATTTCAGAACTTACAAAGACAATATGTTACTGCACTGCACGCAGATTCATCGGTGTCAAGTTTATAGAAAAAAAAATAAGATTGAACACCAGAGTCTTTGATAAAGACGCCACATGCACAACTTTTAGATGTATTTATAAATCAACTTTGAGATATTTCAAGAGATAGTCATTTATTTTACGCAATGCTGAACCTGTTTGCAGTAAAGATTTCGTAGTTTTTTTTATACGAATTGGTTTGCAAGTTATGTGAGTTCTGCAAATTCGTCATATTTGAAACCTCGAAAATCTAATATCAACTGAATCCGATTCTTTTTATTTACAAAAAAGGACATGCTTGTACATAGATTTTAGGAAATTTTGAGTTCTGAGATGTCCGAATTTACAAGTTTTAGTGCTCAGTATGTCGACACCAGCAGTATTATAAATTTCGAATGAACAACGAGCAAACCATTTACTTTTCTTCCAAATGTATAATCAAAACGGTCGATTGTGTTATTTCCAATGTATTATTAAAACCAATATTTTGTACATGTATTTAAATTAAATTTGTTTATAATCTATAATGATTTAAAAGTATTTTTGTAAAAAAATCTAGAATTACAACATTGATGAGTATTTTATTGTAGTTGTTGTTTGCAACATTTCGTCCTAAAATAGTTATTATTATTCATAAATATTTAACGTTTTAAACGTTTATATAATTCAGATCTGTCTCAAGAAGAACTCGATAAATCCACATTGCCCGTATCAATTGTTTTTAATGTTAAAATTAGAGATATACATTTTCAAAAATGTTGCCACAGATCACAGATTCATAAAAAAAATGTTTTGAATATTTGTCATACTCAATTTGGGAAACTTCTGTCGAAACACCTTGTACAACTTAGTTGTGGATACGATGCCAGTTTATTTGACACGTTACATTACGAAGTCACTTGGTATCTATGGACTTTGAAATTGAATGCTCTTTAGAATTGATGATACTATATTTCATGTCAAATTTCCTAGAATTGAAGTATTCAACATTTCTGGATATTTTTTTTGTTCTTCCAATGAACACAGTATTATTATAGTCCGTTATTGTTAGTTATGTGTTATTAATATTATGTGCTGAATTTACATAGGAGACCAAATCACAACTTCTCGCTCAAAAATATTGCTCACGATTTGTAAAAGTAATTTATTTTTTCATCGAATCTGTAAATAACCCTGTTAATTTATTATTACATATGTATTCTATTTTGCTACAAATAAATGTCATATTCATATACCGAAGAAAGTGTTATATATATATATATTTTGTCTTGAGCAAGCTTGGAAAGGGCCCGGACCAAGACCAAAACAGAATCCTTCGCACGAAGGCGTCGATTTAACTTGAAAATATTTTGTTTGTGACTAACAAAAGTTTAAAGTCCACGACGATTTTGGTAGGGGCAAGTTCGATGAAATGTTTTAAGCGAATACCCGTAACAATGACTTAGGATGTTGACATTCTTCGCCTTGGTTATAACGGTAAAGACAACCACAGATACTTTCGTTGATGAAACACCATTTGAGGCGTATGTTTTATAAAGAACCAAAGAGGGCATGCATACTTACATTGTCGGTATATTCATACCATCTCTGTTTCCCAAATGCTTGATATAATTCCTATAAAGACACTGTATTCATTAAAGAGAAGGGTCATATTTTGGTATAATATTTGCTAACTATATATATATTATTATAACTATATACACACATTACAATGTATATATATATAGGGAGTCACGGTGGCTCAGTAAGTAAGACGCTGGCATGCTAACCGGGAGGTCTGGGGTTCGCTCCCGGTGTTAGTTGCGGAAAAGAACCCTTGAAAGCTAGAATTCAAATTAAGAGTAGGCCGAGCAAAACTTCCCCCATAGCATATTACATGGACGATAAATCCCTTTTCATTTCATTTCATTTCACATTTCATAGTAAGTGCAGAAAACGAAATGAAATGGGGATTAATGTCCTACTGTTTTGCTCCGACTGGGCTAGTGAAGACGGATAAGTGCAGGAGCAACATACTACACACAAACAAAACAGAGAAGACATAACCTGCGGTCAAGGACTCAAACTGCACAGATATTGCAAGCAATAAACAATACATATCTTATCAAGTGAATGGATACGGAGGCCAACCGTAAGCGTCGGCTGCGCTGTACAGAGCCGGGATATACTTGCTGCACTCAAAATACCCCCCTCCCCCCCCCCTCCCCCAATTCCAATGATTTACAAGAAAGGCGTAATAGAAAATAACGATATAGGCGATAATCCAGAAAGAATTTCGAAAAAAACACAAAAAAGTATTAAATAAAGAGGGGAAGAAATGGGGTTTAAAGTCCACTCCACACAACCTAGGTCATTTCGGGACTATCATATGGTTCAATTTTATTTCAATAATTCGCTTGCGCGTATGGATCTTTAGCAGTGGGAGGAAACCGGAGGACCGTGAGAAAAAGTATTAAATAAAGTGTGGTCAAATCTGCACCTCCAGCACCTCTCATCCAACCTAGAATCCAATAGTTTTATAAACTGGAATATACTAAAACAGATTAAAAACTCTCACCAATACATTCTTTAAATGGCATTGTGATAACGAATTGTGAAACTAGATGAATGTCACAGTGTAATAAACCGTAGTAATTGTTATCCATAAATACTGGGGATTTTATTTTTGTCTCGTCAATACATTCTTTGTGTCACTTATAAATGGTTTCGCCTTGCTGGACTCAACGGTGCTGTAACAATTGGCGCTTGAAAAATAAAAACGTGATGAAGAAAAGTCATAAACAATTTATATACACGTGTGTTCCAAGAAGAATTTAGGACAACTCCCACCCGAATCAAGCTGTTGGGTTTAACAGTACTCTACTGGGGTACAACCAGACACACACTTATTTATACAGCAATGTTGAGGGTTGTTATCAGTATGATGCGAGGCGGGTAAAGAAGTTTCTTCCTCGAATTCAAATTATTGTGGTATCTTTTATGTGCACTGCCCAGTACTTTTATTTTTTGGACTGGATTGTCATTATTTGATCACAAATTGAGCCTGGCCTTTCTGGTACTTTCGGGGAGAAAAACATTTATCATTGATCTTTTCATTTCTGTTTACTTTTATCATTACAAATTTGGGGTTTATAATTATTATCTGTTGAGACACAGCATGTTAAAAAGCTGCCTGAATGATACATAGCACAATCCAAAGATTTAAAGTTATAGTGCCTTTGCGATAAGTTTTCAAACGATTTATTTCTTATTCTTCGTTAGAGAGAGGAGGGGTCGTGGTAGTCTGCGTTTGCTATAAGAAGAATATTTGGAATTTATCGAGTTCGATTGGTGGCCACTCTTTGGGGTTGACAGGAAACTGGTTTGGATATGACGAGGAAACATCGATCCCCTCAACCCCTGCTCCGCACTCGCCTTTCCCGGCAGGCAAATTGAAAACTATATAATTACCATGTTAATCTCAAAATCAGCGACTTTTGCATTTACGAAACGTTAAACAACATTCAATTGCCAAGAGGATGATATGGCAGAAAATAAATATTCTTCCGCCAACTGGTCGCAATTTGATAAATATAAATATACATTAATTCTGTGCAATATTGAATACAACATGTAGCTTAGTGTTTTATTGAAAATACATAATATAAAAATAAACTGCCCCTAGGAGTAACAACTGAATGAACATAAAAGATATGAATATACGAACTATTTAATTAGAATGTTTTTTTTTCTATTTCAGAGTTACCTCCCTGTAATACGGAGACCTACTTGACCTAAGATTCGGATTTAAATATTCGCGCAGCTATCGTGTGACGTGTGCAACGATACTCGAAAACAAAATTGGTCTTTAGATCAATGACGTATTTAGGGGAATGCCGTTAACAATACAAAATCTTGAATTTTTTTATTTTCATATCTTAATATCTCAAAACAATCGCGATGGGGCATGGAGGTCAGGGTGAATGTGTCGAGTGACGTTTGATATTACGCAGCTATATAAGTCAAGTCCAGCCCGACTTATATGTCTTTGGATGACAAGAAAATGCTTTTAAAAAACAGCTTATTTAACCCAACTGGTTACAATCTTAATTTATTAAAACATCAATTTAATTTATAAAGATTTTTCATTCTGCTCTTTTTATTATTTCAATGTTATTCAAAAGATGGCGTAATGGTGCATCAGAAATACGTAACAGACAGATGTTTCTATCCGTCATAAAACAATAATTAAAAAGAAAACCGGGATCGATGGACCGATAACATAATCCTCGATTATATCATAAAATATGCTCATTATTAACTGGAGACAGAGTAGCAAGTTCGTACATGGCTAATAAGACCTTATCACATTAACTTATTACTTAACCTTTGTCGGTGTTTGAAAATGTGTTAACTCTATAATGATTATTGTTAGTTCTATAATAATCTAGGTTGTAAAAGGCCCTAGGGCACTACTACCAATCTGTCCAAAATGGCCCCCTTGAGAGCTGGGCTTGCAAATTAACATCATCCATTTTGTTTAATTGGTAAACATGACATAATTTATGATACTAGTGACTGAAAATTTGTTCTAATGGTTAAACTCAGTTGGATACAATTTGGAATTTTTCTCTCATTCACTGTTCTAGGAGTGAAATGTTTCCAGATCAACACAATCGATTTTGGTTTTGTTTAGAAAAACACAGTACATGTATGTTGATGAAAATAAAGAAAACGGCTCTGAATAACAGGAACATACATCCGTCTAAAATGTACCCGTCTATAGAAAGATGTGATGGGATGGGATGGACTGCACTGTCTTCCCATTGACACGCCATTGTGTGGATAATTGTTTTTCTGTAACACCAAGACTACAAGTTTAACAATATATAATGTACAAACAGAAATTCTGGTCAATAAGCTAGAGTATACTATATAGTCAGAGATTGACAGAATTATTATACTCATAGCTCTCATAGCTATAATTTATAAGAGATATAGATAATATCCACAAATTTATGTTTAAATGAGGTTGTGTTAGCTGAATAAACGTAACTAAAAGGAATATAACTTTTCTTAAACAAATTTACATTTCACATTTTTACTATTTCAAAAACATTTATGAGACTTCAGAAATATACTTTCATGGCTTAAATTATAGTTATTCAGAAAAGATCAGGAAAACTTTTGAGTTGGCTAAATATAAATATCGCTCCCATTCGGCCTTCGTGGCAAATACCGTTGCTGTTCTGTGTTTTGATAAGTCCCGCTATCATTCCTCCAATCTGGTGGCTAGTTTTAATACACATCTGTCCAGGCCACCAAAAATGACCCAACACCTGCCAATAGTGGCGGCACAAAACTTCATCCAACAAACCGACTCGAGCTCAAATTTTAATAGAGTCCAATTTTGTTTATGGTTCCGCGTGAATAAATTCAACTTTGATCGCCATCAGCAATCTGTCACGGTTGGTGGAGGGAGAGCTTTGCCTCTATCGGAATGGGGTAACCATCTGTAAGATCACCCAGAATAGAAATGATAATCTTTTTATTCCATAAAACATATCCCATTGTGTCCTTGTACAGGTAAAAAGAGACAGAAAACAATACATTAAAGAAGGGCCTTCATACCAACAAAGCTTATTACAAAACTAAACGATTTGTACCCATGAATACAGAAAAATAGAAAACATCATACGAATTGTTTTGTATTATTTGCTAATTTTATAATTTTCTTTCACGATGCGGCGTTACCGAGAGGCTTTATCGTGGTTCCTGTATTGATTGAAATGATAATGTTGCTTGCTGTGTCTTTAAGAGTTTTAGATTAACTACAATTGATAGAGAAAAAGCTTCAATTATTGATTGGGGCGCGTGCTTTTCCTTTGATCTTGCTCACCGTTATCTAACTTTCAAAAGTGTATCAGCATTTTTCTATATGCACGTGTTCAAATTACTCTCGCTATGTGTTTTTATGAAATATTAATTAGGCCCTAGACCCGTTTATCACAAAGAATATTTAAAAAATTGAGCTTCGAAAGTTTCAATAAAAATTCCTTTAAAGAAACTCCTGGTGCGTGGAAATAGATTTTTTTTTCAAATTTAAATTACACTATTGTTTAGCATTTGTTCTCTTATAATAAATGTTCATAAACTTTGAAATCATTCTTTGAAGTAGAACAATAATGATAATTAGATATTCTAAGCGTAGCTGTACTTGTAGCTAACTGCACGGAAACATTTTGCG